CTTCCCTTCAGGGGTCACAATTCTAACTTTTCCCCTTCCACAATCAATTTGGGCTTGGTATTTTCTTAACCAATCCTTTCCTAGGATTAGTTCATACTTCATTTTTTCTAAAGGGTACAAGTCTACTGTAAGAACTTGATCTTTCACCACCAACTTACACCCCCTAAAGGTTTGATTTATAGATATTTTCCTCAACAACGGTACACTTAGGGTCAAAGGTTTTGTCACTGGTTCAAATTTCAACCCTAACGAACTAGCCAACCATACAGATATAAATGAATGTGATGCCCCAGTATCAAACAATATTCTAGCTTCGGTATTTGAGAAGAGAATCATACCATTCAGCACCATCTTGTTATTTGCGGTAGCTTCATCATCTTCGGTCAAAGCATACACTTTGCCACTTTCTTTTACAAGTGCACGATTTAGAGGTCCTCAACCTTGGTTCCCTTGGTTGGTCTTTTGAGATGTCTGCTGATTCCGTTGTGGTTGCTGAACCATTTCTGTTTTAGCTCTTTGCTGAACTTGAGGTCGATTAACAACTACAAAACCAAAGCTTTCTCTTTTGAGACATTTTGGGCTGATGTGCCCAAATTCACCACAAGTATAACATTCGGGGCTAGCTTGCCCTTTTTCTTAGTCTTCCACTGCCACTTGAACTTCCAGATTCTTTTCTCACCTTCTTTTTACCCTTGCTTCCCCTAAATGCACCAGCTGAGGCTTTCTTCTTCAAAAAGCTGAGATGATCTTGCTCAAATGCATAAGCAGTATCTATAATCTCCCTATAAGTCTTCGTTCCTTGACCCACAGTATACCTTCTGATGCCATCTTTCAAGCCCAACATAAATTTTACTGCTTTCATATTTTCATCAGCTACTAGAGCCTTAGCATATTTACCTAACTCTGTATACTTAGAGACATATTCAACCACTGTCATATTGCCTTGCTCCAGCTCAAAGAATTCTTTCATTCTTGTTTGTTTCAGAGCAACCGAAAAGTACAGATCATAAAAATGTTGCTCAAAATCATCCCAAGTCATTTCTTTATCTGTATTTTGATCACAGACGGTATCCCACCATGAGTCAGCTTCACCTTCCATTACATGAGTAGCTAACTTAATTTGATTCTTAGCTGGCACTTTCAAAATATCAAGCTTATTTTTTATGTTCTTGATCCATATCTCCGCCTTGTCAGAATGAGGTGTACCACAAAACTTCAAAGGCTTCAATTTCAATAAACGATCGGGATAGGTAGCTTCTCGCTCACTTTCTTTTTCTTCCTCATTTTGCTGGTTTTTTTGTTGACTAGCCAAAAAGGCTTGAAATAACTCAGCCATTTGCTGTGCATTAACTGGTGGGTTTGGCTGGACGTTGGGTAAATCGACATGATGCTCTTCAGGGGTACTTTGTTGTGGGCGAGGGTTGTCTTCAGGTTGTGGCAGCATCTTGTCAACAAAATAAAATGTATATCGAAAGAAAACAAATGTTGCAAAAAAATAAAAATAAAAATAGAAAAATAAAAAATAAAAAAAAATTGTGAAATACCAAATTTTTTCTTTCTTTCTTTCTGGTTGCTTTTATTTTAAAACATGTTATAACCCATGCTCTGATACCATTTTTTTCTGTCACGACCCAAAAATGTAACGTGACAGCGCCGCGTATCCTAAAAACACATGAGAGTTGTATGTTCCATTCTTACAACATGACAATGCCCCTGTGTCTTTAAAATACGTAAGGCCTCTAAAATTAATATCAAAATAAATATCAAAGTTCAAGTAAAATCCATAACATTCAAACCATTTCATAAGCAACATTTTTACAACAGAAATCCCAAAAGTTTAGTTTACAAAAGCCAAAGGAGTGATAGGTTTAGATAAATATATACAAGCACAAGAGGCTATACATAGACAATTTTCACAGAAACTAGAAAATCAATATTTACATTTCAAAAGATGATTTTCTGATTCGAAGCTTTGAGGTTGACAAGCTAGAACTGCACACCTTAGTCCAACTTTTCCACTATTTCTCGCACAACACCTAAAAATGTAGGGGTGAACATCACATACAGTCATTTGCCCCTCCCCCTCGGGAGGCACCCTAGCTAGGTTTGAAAATAGATATACCTTTGTACTGTGTATAAAGAAAATAATTTGCACAACAAAATGCTTTGGCATGATTTAAAATTTATTTCATGCTCATAATTAACTATAGTGGGTTCCCTGCATTCTTTTTGTCCTAACAACCGAACATGCGGCCAACTACCATACCTAAAATAAAATTCTCAAGTAATTTCAACACAACGTAGGGTAGTGAAAGTGTCCACTTACAACCTATACCACATAGGCACAAGTACCCTCCCCTTACGGATTAATGGTACGAGTCCGTTTGTATAAGACCCTCCGGAGGTTTAGGGGATCGAAGCCCACGGTACTCACACAGCCCCCTTCACTCTCAGGTCGTCATTACAATTTAGAATAACATAAATCACATGCTAGAAAAATCAAACACCTTTTCCTAACATGCAGTTCTAACAACAATAAAATCCAATGCATAGCTTGCATGCATCCATATTTACATACATAATACATACTGAAAACCACTAACCAGGGTGTGAGTCCCTCCTACCTGATATTCCAAGCTTCAGGTACTAACTCTTTCCACAATTGTTCACTCTTATCTCTTGATCTTGCTTAAGCCAAGAAAGCGCCTAATCTGAAAAAGAACATGTCAATATACAGTTTGCATGCACCAGCATAAGCTAACACGTCTCAATTCCATCTGCACAATGCTTGTATATCCCCAAAATAACCAAAACCAATATTTATACACATAAATCCCAGTTTAATTAACCTTCTCCATGAAATCCATTTAGGAGCCATATATCAAATGCCATCTAACAGCCAATGCACACTTGAATTCCATAACTCTAAATCAAGTAAAATTTTACCTTTATCTTCTTCAATAATACTGTTTGACCAGCCTTGAGACTTCCAAAACTCTCAATTCAACCATATAGCACTTCAAACATGAATTTTCAAACTTATTAACATGAAATCCCCAACCAAAATATAATTTCGAATCTGCAAATAAGCTTTGAACTCTTACCTACGTTCGGAGAGCTCAATGTTGTGATCATAAAGGCAAAAATGGATTGTTGTTCTGATGTCTAGAAATTAACCCATACATTTTTCTTTCTTCGACACCTAAAGAGAAATTCATTCCTATTAAGTTATGGATTGATATTTAATTACCTATTAAGTTATCAGTTAGCCTTATTTGTAGGGAATAGAATAGGAAACAAGTCATGTAAGACTTTGTATAAAGCTGTAAATCTCGTTGATGTCAACATACAGAAATTCATTCCTATACTTTATGCTTCTTATGATGGTATCAGAGCGAACGATATCTGGGAAAATAAAAGGCAAAACAACAAACATAAACCCTAGCAGACATTGCTATGGGCGATATATCATAAAAGCCAACCTCTTCAGGCATGGCTTCGCATCAAAAGTGGGAAAATCCCAATCACCCACTTTTCCTCCATCACTCAGACCAACCTGGTGCAATACTTGTGCCGCAGTCTCTCGTGGAGGATAACTATGGTACATGGGTTCAATCCATGACCATGGCTTTGACAGTAAAGAATAAATTAGGGTTTGTTGATGGAACGGTCAAGAAACCTCATGAAGAACAAATTGAAGAATTACAACAATGGAATCGATGCAACAACTTGGTAAAAACGTGGTTTCTTGGATCCATGTCCAAAGAAATTTCTGGGAGCGTCATACACTGCAAGGATGCACGGCATATGTGGCTCGTCCTGCAAGAAAGGTTTTCCCATGTGAATATTGTCCAACTGTTTCACATCGAAAACTAGATTCACGACTGTGTACAAGGTACTATGACTGTGAGCGCATACTTCACCAAACTAAAAAGCCTTTGGGACGAACGAGATGCGTTGTGTTCTATCCCAACATGTGGCTGTGACACAAAGAAGGAGATCACCTCCTACATTGAAACCCATAAGACGATGAAGTTTCTCATGGGTTTGAACGAGTCTTACTCTACCGTTCATCGCAACACTCTCATTCTCGATCCTTTGCCCACTGTTAACAAGGCTTACTCACTTGTTCTTCGTCATGAAAGGCAAGTCGAAGTCTCAAGTGGACGGAGTACTGTGAAGGGAAAATATGAGATTTATGTGGGATTTCTAGTGACTAGCATGCATATACAATTCAAAATTTATATACGAAAGCAACGGAAGCATGTCATACATTTTATCAAAGCTATAGTCATGCAAATCCCCTTCAAGATGCATAGGTTTATATATGAAGCATCAAAAACAATTTATTGAAGAACAAAGTTTAGGAGTAGTTTTATACCTCTTGATCTAGATCTAAGACCAAGGATTGACCACCTCCAAGCTCTTTGCTCCTTGAACTCCTTGAGCCTAGCCTCCCTCCTTGCCTCCTCCACTTTGTTGAGAATGAGTGCTCCTAGGTCCTCTTCAAGTTTCCAAAGATATGAAAACCTCTAAAGATCCTCACCCACTTTGTAATGAGAAAGATGAAGGAATTAACCAAAGGGTGATAAGATGATTAGCTAGAATTCCCTTTGGTGGCCGGCCCTTTTAAGTTTGAGAGAGAATGATTTTATTTTCTTTTGTGTATTATGAACCACCTAACACACTCACTCACACTTTCATTATTATGTTCCTTTTATTTCTTAAAGAAACAAGTCAACAATTGACTCACTCTCTCTCCCTTCTCATTTGGCCGGCCTTTGGTGTTTGGTTTGGGCTTTGGGCTTTTAATTATTTCAAGTCATCCAATGCTTGAATAAAAGCCCAATGGGTTTTGGCCCAATGGGCCCAATTAAACCCGAACGTTTCTTTAAGCCCAAAACGATCTTTATCGCTTTTATGATTTCTTTAGACTTTCTAAATTAATCAAAACACTTAATTAATCCAATTAATTATTTCCTTCATCCATTAGTTACTCACTACAAGAGTGTATCGGTGAACAATCTTTTAGGTTCTAATTAGCAAGGCAGTGAGGTGATTGGCACCAATCCAATTGATTATCCAATCACTTAGTGAATTAAAACTTACTTTTAATTCACCTTCCTTTTAATGACTACATTTAATCATCTAGAAGAACTCACAAGCCATGAGTGACATCTAATCATATATCATGGCTACCCAAGCTAATGTAGAAGTTATTCGGAGAACCTATTCAATTGGAATTACAATGTAATTCGATCCTTCTCTAAAACAATACTCTCAATCACATTACTAGGGTATGGATTTATAATGTCAAACCCCTAATGTGATTATTCCTTTTTATACGATTCATTTGAGACGTATAGGAACGCTTTCCTTTATTACGCTCGATACTTCGGCCGAAGATTCCCGAATCATATCTTAGAGTATTCATCCTCTCTTATCTAGGATTAGAGATTCCTTGTTGCGCATTCACTTGCCTTCATGGCTAAGTGGCTTAACCCCAACGATGCCTTGGACACTCTCGAATGGAATGACTTTAACATAATCAAAGATTAAGTACTTAACCACAAGACAACGACGATGCCTCAGGTCAAAGGATTACTTACATTATTCCAACCATTAGAGTTACTTGCTTGACATGTGAGTAGACCTCCATGCAAGTACTCTCGTTCGATTGTGTTCAGTGAACTCATTCCCTTAATGAGCACCTACATGCTTGTCTTAGTGTCGCTACACGAATGGGATGAGACTTTCCATCCTTCCAATTGAAGCGGACATAGTATGTACCAGTCTATGGATTGTCAGTATCCCTCCGACAATCCTTATGACCAGGAACCTTTTTGGACATGATGGTTATGAGAAGAAGGTCTCTGTAATCTAACATCATTAGGTTACTTCTTCCATCGATCCATTGTCCATGGATTCACTATTTAGGACATATTTCGTTCATTGAGATAGTCCCAATTAGTATCTTTGCCTTCCGATGTATAAGAGTCATATATACATCAATTCATTGTCCTGAAAGGTTTCTTCCAAAGATTGACTTTCAGGGCATATTTCCAACATACTGTCCAACCAGAAGCTGTTGTATTCGCTGTCAAAGGTGGAAGCCGAGAATCTAAAACTGAGGATGGTGGTTTGCGATGTGACAAGTGCAATGAGACGAACCACAGCACAAAGAACTACCGCGCACATATCAAATGTACTTTCTGTGGTTGGAAGGGTCATTCGTACGAGTATTGCCGCAAAAGAAAAGCAGTCATAGACAGCGAACCAAGCCATTCTGCCAAAGGAAATCAAGTTGTCGTGACCAACAAGGAGATCTCCAAATTCCCGTTCTCTCCAGAGGATTGCAAGCATATACTTAAAATGTTGCATCAAAACAAATCTTCTTTTGCTAATCATGTTGGTAATTCTTCCAGCCATGATGATCTCTCAAGT